AAAACTTTGGATTCCCAAAACTCGTTATACATCTGCATAAAGTCCTCCAATATGTGCCAACAGCTTTTAATGAAGTTAAAATTGAAGCCATCAGGACTTCGTGCTTTGTCCCCATTAATCTTCTTCAATGCCCCTTCACCTCTGCGGCTTCAAACTCCCTCTCTAGCCACCCTGCTGCACTGTCACTTAGCCTACTTGGTTCTAAATCTCCCAAGGTCACCCAACTCCAATTCCTTCCTGTGTACAAGTCCTTATAATACTTCATCACTTTTTCTTGAATTTCACCCCAAGTGTTAACCACCTCCTCCTCTATTTGAACCCTTGAAATCACATTCCTTCTTCTCCTTCCATTTGCAAAAGCGTGAAAGAATGATGTATTCTTGTTGCCCTCTTTTAACTATAGTGGTCTAGACTTTTGTCTCTACCTTGTCTTCTCCCTCAAGATTAAGTCTTCTAGCTCCCTTTCCAAAGATGCGATCTCCATTTTGACTTCCCTTCTATAATCTCCTTCTTCTTTAAGTCTTTCTAGACCCAAATTGTTTATAAAATATACCATGCCTATAGCCTTGGTCACTTTGTGAGAGGATAGTGATTAAGCGGCCTTTCTTTCAGCCATCTTTGCTCCAAATCATCTAGAGCTTTGGCAAAGCTCAACCAGCCCTGTTTTTCTTTTCCTTCTGGTATGCAAATTATGGTAGGTGAACATACCTCACAAAGTTGTGTGAAAGCACCTCTGCTATTGCATTTCTTCTCCACCATGAAGTTTTACTTCTTCCCTTGTGCGTTCAGCATAGTTGTCAAGGCAATGCCTAGGCGACAACTAGGCGACAAGGCGCCCTTGGAGGCTCGCCTCACTCAGTCGCCTAGCAGTTTTGTATACTGTCTTATAAAATACTTTTATATTGTTACTTTTTTGAGTTTATAATTATAAAATAGGCATTATTAAACAAAATTATTCATTTTTTGTGTTTATAAACTAATTTCTTTTTATTATTTGTTAGGATTTAATCAACACAAACATTGCTAACTGCTGTATTGAACCCTCAAAGACTTCAGAATTTGAACCAATATGTAAGGGAAAAACTTAAAGTTTTGTCTAATCAACACATTTCTTCCTCCACTTCTTCTTCTTCTTCTTCCACCTTTTCTTTTCTTCTTTTCCTATAACAAAAATAGGGGTTCAGTCCCCATATTTATTGAATTTTCTTTTCTTTCTTATTTTTCTTCTCATAAATATGTTGATTTTCTAGACATAAACATGAAGTTTATAATTTTCTTATGAAAATTATGGATAGTTATTAAGGAAAAATGGTTATGGAACCTAGGGAACTACCTAGGATATGTATTTTTCACTTAAAAAAATCCATCGCCTAGGCGACTAGGCGCCCCCCTATCGCCTAGCCTTGCCTTGGCGCCTTGAAAACTATGGCGTTCAGTTCGCCTTTCCAACCTAGTTCATTAACTCCATGGAATATGCTGTTGAAGAAGCCTTTTTGCCAAACTAGTGCCTCCCTATTTAAAAACACCACAAACCTTTTGTTTTCTCTAATCTTAACCACCAACCCTCCTCCTATTTTCCAGTAGAAATCTTTTCTTCTCCAATTCCAATATTTTCCTCCATCTGTTTGCTGGCATGAAGCCCACCATTGTTTTTCTTCCTCCCTCCCCTCCACTGAGAGAGATATGTTCACCTACCATTCTTGAAAGTCAGGAAGTCCCTTTCCCTCCAAGTTGACTTGGTCATTTGTCCTTTGAGTCGTTGAAAGCTATGTTTCCTGATATATTTAAGTTTGTGTCTATTTTTGGATTGCAATGTCAAACTTGTCAGTTGAGCAAACATTGTAGAACAGATTTTCCTTCAAGTAATAAAAGATCCATTTTGCTTTTCCACGTTGTGCACTCTGATGCTTGGGGCCCAGTGAACATACCCATTGAGGGTGGATACAAGTATTTTATTAGCTTCATTGATGATTACTCCAGATGTACTTGGATATATCTTATGCATTCCAGAGAAGAGGTAACTAGAATTGTGAAAGAATTTCATCACATGATTTTTACTCAGTTCCATGTTAAAATACAAACTTTTCAATTAGATAATGTGAAAGAATACTTTCATCATGACCTAGATGATTTCTTTGCATTTCATGGATCTCTTCATCAAAGCTATTGCATCAAAACACCATAATAGAATGGTGTTGTAGAAAGGAAGAACTGACATCTTCTTGAAGTTGCCTGTAGTGTGATGCTACACATGAATGTTCCCAAGCAGTTTTGGGTTGATGTTGTGATGGCTACGACTTATGTCATCAATCGCATGCCATCTCATCTCTTACAATACAAGGTCCCACATCAGCTCTTGTTTCCTCAATCTCCTTTGTTTTCTATTCATGTGTGTGTATTTGGCTACAAATGCTTTGTTCATGATTTGCCCCCAAATCGAGGTAAGTTGGACCCCAAGTCTATCCCATGTATTTTTTTTTTCGGGTTACTCATCCTCCCAGAAGGGCAACAAATGTTTTAATCTTGTCTCTCGCAAGTACTTTGTCTCAATGGATGTGCCCTTTTTTGAGTCTGGTCCTTTCTTCCCGACCTCTCCTCAGGGGGAGAATAGTGTGGAGGAGAGGCAAGTTCCTCAAGTTCCACTTCCTTTCATTCCTAACTCTACTTCATTTCGTGTTATTTTGAGGTGCTGTAAGGGACATCTGAGTTCAAAGGGTGTGGAGTAGCCAAAAACTGTGCATGCAACATTATTTGACATTCTGACTCCTTGGAGGCATTATCCAGGTACTCTTGTTCCCCTTGATGTTACTAAGCCTGTTGCTATTGATAATTCTAGTAATGACCTTAATGTTCCCATTGCTCATACGAAGGGTGTTAGATCATGTACTACTAAACACCTTATTGCCCATTTCTTCTCTTATGAAAACATTTCACCCTTGTTTCATGCTTTTCTGACTACCATTGGTTGTCTCTTTATTCCCAAAAGTGTTGTAGAAGCTTTGTTTATCCCTGAATGGACAAATGCAATGAAGGAAGAAATTTGTGCTCTAACTCATCAAAAAAAAAAAAAAGAAAAAAAGAAATTTGTGCTCTACACAAAAACAACACTTGGGAGTTGGTGGATCTTCTTGAAGGCAAAGAGCTAGTGGGGTGTAAGTGGGTATTCATGGTGAAACATAAGGCGGATAGGACAGTTAAGAGGTATAATGCCAGGTTAGTTGCAAAAGGGTACACATAGGTACCCTAAAATGAACTCTATTCGGATCATATTATCCTTGTTAACTTTGACTAGGAGCTTCATCAACTAGACATTAAAAATGCTTTCCTGAATGGGGATATAGAAGAAGAAGAAGTATATATGATTCAGCCTCCTGGGTTTATAGAACAAGGGGGTGAAGGAAAAATTTGCAAACTAAAGAAATCCCTATATGGGTTGAAGCAATACCTTAGGGCCTGCTTTAGCATATTTTACTTGGTTCGTCAACAGATTGGGTTCAAGTAGTGTCAGTCTGACTATACTCTTTGTCAGAAGGAACCAAGAGAAGATTATGGTCCTAATTGTGTATGTAGATGACATAGTAAGTACGGGGAACTAGGACTTTGAGATTCAAAAGGTGAAAGAATCCCTAGTTGTGAAATTTGAAGTTAAGGACTTGGAACAGTTACATAATTTCCTTGGAATTGAGATTGCCCATTCTCAAAAGGGCATCTTCATTTCTCAAAGGAAATATATCCTAGATCTCTTACAAGATATAGGGAAGTTGGGAGCAAAGCCAACAGATTCCCCTATTGATGAAAATCACAGACTTGGTGATTGTGCTAGAGAACTTGTGATAGATGTCAAGAAGTTTTAAAGTTTGGTAGGAAGACTTCTCTACTTTTCAATGACTTGATCGGATATAGCATATGATGTTGGTGTCCTCAACCAGTTTATGCATGCTCTAAGTATTTCCCATTTGGAGGCAACAAAGAGAGTCCTTAAATATCTAAAGAAGTATCTAGGGACTGGTATATTGTTCAAGAAACATGGCTATATGAAAATGGAAGTTTACAGAGATGCAGATTGGAATGGTGTAGTTGACGATAGGAAGTCTACTGATGGATATTGCACCTTTGTTGTTAGAAACTTAGTCACTTGGATAAGCAAAAGACAAAGTGTAGTGTTCAGATCTAGTGCTGAAGTTGAATATAGAGCATAGAGCTATGGACTATGGCTCATGGGGTTGTAGAAGTGCTTTGGGTAAAAAATTGAATTGGTGAATTGGGTATCTTTGTTGATGGTCCAATGTCCCTTTACTGTGACAACAAGGCAGCCATTAATATTGCTTCCAACCTAGTTCTTCATGACAGGACTAAGCATATTAAAGTTGACAAGCACTTTATAAGAGAAAAAACTTGAGAAGGGTGAAGTGTGTACCCCTTACATCAGTTCCAAGGAACAACTAGTAGATGTCCTTACAAAAGGTTTACGCTATCTGCGGCACAATGAGTTGTGTGACAAGTTGGGCATGATTGACATATATGCTCCAACTTGAGGGGGAGTGTTGAAATGTGTTATGTATTGCCGCAGGGGTATTTTTGACTTTTCCTATCTTTTTCTTTTGTAAGCTGTCACCCAAAGTATAAATACTAACTTATGTGCCGCCAGCTAGTAACTTTTGGAAAGGAACTCTTTTCTTCTCTTCTCTCCTGTCTCCTCTCCTTCTTTCTTCTCCCTTCTCTACTCTATTTTTCTTTCTTCTTGCTGGGACTACAATTGTCAAAATACCCTTATTGTAAAAAGGATACAAAAGCACATGTAAAGTTTTGGCTTATTTTCTCCTGCATCCCTCTTAGATTGCTTCTAAGTTCTTTATCTGTGCCTTCTTTCTGTTATGATTAAATGCAATTCTTTTCCTCTGATGTGTTACTTTGATAATTTAATGGGAGAAGCGCCATTTATATTTTTTTTTATCAGTAGAAGCACCATTTATATTAGCAGCTATTTTTTTGGTCCACAGGATGCTCGAAATAATTTGAACAAGGAACCATCATTGAGAAGCGTCCTTTCTGATCCATTATCGTAAGTTGAGTTTCCCTTGTTAATGTATTACATTTTGTCACTTTTTTTTTACTCGAGGTATCTTGGTCTTACTTTTTAGCTGGTGAGTGGTGAATACAGTTTTTGCATACCACTTGAACCTTAGTTCTTTAGGTTTGAAAGAGAGGTTTCCTGACAACTAGGCCTAGTGAAGAATGTTTTGGTACTGAATTAATAATACATTATTTACTTTCATGAGGTGAGGATGTAACTAAATGTGAATTATATATCTTTTGATCTTTTTCATGAGGGCAGGAGTTGGCACAGTGCTGCTTAGTGTGCACTTATATGTTAAATAAAGGTGGCACCACTTTCACTGTTTCACCTTTTTGACATTTTTATGGATAAAGAGCAAAAGGAAACTTGGGAGGAGTTGGACACAAGTTGGAAATTAGTTTCTAATAATTCCATTACCTATAATATTTTTAAAGGTAGAAGCACAATCAAAGCACAAAGGGTTCCTGGAGATTGAGGCACAAGGTGAGGAATGGGTCTGCATGAAGTGAGATGCCACATTGTTTAAAAATTAAAAAACTATAATTTAAGAACATGCAGATCTAATTCTGAAAGAAGTAAAATATTTCCAAAGCCTATTATCTTAATTGGTTGCATGTCTTGTTAACAAGAAGCTCCTTGTCATACATAGGTTAAACTCTCTACTGTTTAAACTCTCGTTATCATAGCTACAACATGCAAATGTTTTCTTTATCTTTATTATAAAAAAAAAACAATGTCAAATGTGGTGCACTTGGGTGGAGGATTATGTCTTGCAACATAGCCTTGCATGTGAGCCAATGGACAATTGGGATAGGGGGTACTGATAACCCACTTACAAAAGGGATGCTGGAGCTGGACATATTGTATATATATTCATTCTTTGATTCTTTATTAGTAAAACTTTACCAGTTACTCATCAAAATAAATAAATAAATAATGAGCCCGTGGACACCTTTCAGAACTCATTACCCCTAATGGTTTAACTTATTTCTTGATCACAGAGAGGTAATGATGGTTTTCCATCGGCTACTTCAAGGTTCTAAGATGTCTCTAAGTTATTAGATATAGATCAAAGAAAAACAGAGGTGTGAAGCATGGAGGGGCAAGGGTTTTGTGAAGCAAGAGATTGAAGGCAATCATTGGGGGTTGAAGCAAAAACCTTTTCATTAGAGGAGATCAGGAACAGTAGCATGACAATTATTAAAGTCAGAGAACTTGAGGAAAACTTTTATTCTCTCGGATGATGAGACTATTGTTTGGCTAAAAAACTTTGTCGAGGGAGCTATACATTTCAACCAGAGAAGGGATTGAAAGAATGAAATCTTTGGGTGCAAAAGGAAATTTAGGGCTGAAGAAAAGAGAACAAAAATGGAAGATACCTGTATATCTTGGAATTCTTTGGGGTAAACAAAAAATGGAATCTGAATGCCAGAAGATGAAAGGAGTTTGGGGTGGTTTGGGTTTGCAGGAGTGAACAGTAATGAAGAACGAAGAAAAACAGAGGCTGTAATGGCAGTAAAGGCAGGATTGCAACCGCTGAAGGTGATGATAAATATTGAAGAAAATATGTGGGAATCGGCCTTAGTTATTGCCATCCAAAGGAAGCAAGAGAGTTGCATGCACACTAGGAACTTTCTGTCACACAACTTCAATTGCAATCTGGTTCTAAAGCCATTTGCAAGCTGTTAGTGGAAATATTTTTTAGTATAATTTCTCACATAACATAATTCATCCAATTAAACTAATAACTGGGTTTTTTTTTTTGTTATTTGGGTAAGCCCCATTTAGGAAATCACGCAAGTATTCCCTTAATTATATCTCTGCTAGGGGTAGAGAAAACATTTTGATTCTGATTCAGAAGTACAAATGAATAGACTAAACTAAGTATCACTTTTCTACAGAATTTTCCTTTGAAAATTCTGGTATTTATATATTCCCCCTTTGTTTGAGAGAAAACCAACAAATAAATTGTTAGAGTACACAAAACAGGGGCATTTTGGTTATTTGGGTTTATCTATTTGAGAGTGAAAGGTCTGTTTTATTTAAGTTTGTGTCCTATCACTTATGAGGGACAATATGGTCTTTCTTGTAACTATGTTATTGGAGATAAATACAAGTGGGTCGACTAGAGAGAGGACTGATTTTCCTCTACTGGCCGAACCCTTCTTCTTCTCCTCTTCTTCTTCTTCTTCTTCTTCTCTACTGTAACCTAGGACTAAATAAGGTTTTCACATGGTATCAGA